TGATGATGATGATGATGATGATAGCTACTATTATCATTGTTATTGCGATCTTTTATGGCTATGATGAAAGGCATCGACGGGGCGCTGCAGCGCTTCTTTCACAACAAGGTGTGACGGTACACACGACTTGCTCCACCCCCGAGCATGGGGTTATTTTTGGTGAGTAGCGGCATTTGTCTCTCTCTTGAATATGAGGCAGCAGGAGCCATCATTTGGGGAATCCGGAAACTGTTGGGCAAATTTCTCGGGTGCGTGTAGATGAGTTGCGAAGATATGTGCGGCGGCAATGGGTAATAGAAAACAATACACGAACGGAGAGACGGAAGGGCTGGGAAGAACGAAAGAAAGAGAGAGAAAGAGAGGGAAGCGAGAGGTGGAAAAGGCAGAATGGACGGATGCATGAAGCACCATAGGGGGGATAAGAATGAACGCGGCGGCAGACGTAGAGGCGAGCAGAGACGAGGCGACGGCTGTGCCACGTGGTGGGGCCGCTCCGCCCACATGTCCTCCTCTTCGTCCCCTTTCCCCCTCCCCCACAGCAAAGGGAGGGAGGAATGTCTGCGGCAGACGTTGCGCTTCTGCCCATTCTCAAGTGCTTCTTTCTTTATATACGCTGTTTTCTAAAACCCTTGTGCTGTTTTTCCCTTCTTACTTTTTTTTTCTTTTCTTTTCTTTTCTTTCCTTCCGCCGCAACCAACTGGCGTATCGGGAGTGAGCGCCACTGATTGGCGTAAATCAGCGTGGTGTCTTTGTGTGTGTGTGTGTGCTTGTGTGTCTGTGGACGGGGAGCGGAGGACTGTGTCGCGCTGCTGGTGTCAACCTGTGCTCTTTTTCGTCCGGTCCGTTGCCGGTGGGTGTGTGTGTGTGGGGGGGGGGCGAAGCACACGTGTCTCACAAGAAAGAGGTGGACGCAGCAGTTGAGTGCGGCGAAGCTAAATCCCCACGAAGCCGCTCGTGGCCCAGTGCGTTTGACTGACATTGGGTGACCGTGGAGAAGCGTGCAGCTACCGTGAATGCAGCGTGCTCGCCTTCTCGCGGCCTCACGCCGTCTGAGCGGGACGGTCGTGTCATGGCACCCGTTTGAGCGGCGCGGCGTCATTCGCTGCGACGCGGACGGCGACGAGTACCAAATCCCCAACGCCCGCGCCTTCGAGACGGTGCTGCCGACGCGGCTGCACAGCCTGGAGGGCACTAAGGTCGAGTTCGAGCCCATCCGCGACGCGCAGGACGTGGACCGCGTCATTACGCGCAGTCGCCTGGAGCCTCTCACGGCGACGAGTTACGCGCGCAAGACTCCCGTCGACTTCCTCGCTGCCTTCCGGCTGGAGCCACGCGGCGGCGGAGCAGAAGCGGTGGGCGACGGAGAGGCAGCACCGTCGTCGTCGTCGTCGTCTCCCCCGCGGCTTCTCGCCGGGAACATAACCGTTGACCTCGTCGCGCTCAGAGCAGCAAAGGGCGGTAACTCTTTGACAGAAGATGTGGCGGGGGCAACCGAGGAGGAGGGAGACAGTGGCACGCGGCCACCGCTCGGCGTGAAGGACCTCCGCAACCCCGTTGTGCTGGACGCAGACACGAAGGAGTTGGTGCGTCTGCGCCGTCAGCTCGGCGACGAGGCGAAGGCCCGAGAGGCGCTGCAGCAGCAGCGACAGCAGCAGGAGGCTGCGCGGGCGCTGCAGCGGACGGAGATCGCGACGGGGCGGATGGGCATTGTGCTCGCGTGGTCCGCTCTCCACCGCAGCGGCGTGGTGCTGGAGGACGCTACTGCAATCCCCGAGTGCGCGCCTGGCGACAATACGGAAGGCGTCTGCATCATTCGCAATGTCGACGCCTTTGAGACGGCGCTCCCTACCGCACTGAGCCTGGTGGGCCGTATTGTCAACTTCACCAAGGTTGCATACACCTCACATCCCTCGAAGTTTTTCGCGGAGAATATCACGGTGCGTGGGGAGCTACGATTCGATGAGGACGTGACTGCTGTAGCGGAGGCCAAGACGAAGGAGGCTGCAGCTGCCGAGCACGCAAAACGAGCGAGACAACTTGGTACACTTTTCGAGGAGGTAGATTACAGCAGTGAGCCGCTCCCTGCCGGCCCGCTCTATGGTGTGGTAACGCGATGGAGTGGAGGGCAGGGAATTGTCGAGACAGGAAACAGGCGTTTGTATTACATTCAGTCTGGTGCGGACTTTAAGCAGCTTGTTGATCACACAAGCAACACCATTCGTGGGGCCGTTGTTAGCTTCACAGTTGATGAAGGTAGTCGGCGCTACGCACGAGATATCAATGTCCTTTCTGTGGCTGCGCGGGACCTCGCCACCGTGATGCCCATGCTAGAGAGGCGGAAGGGTTCTGTTGCCACTTCTGGTGGTGGTGGTGGTGGTAGCGATACTTCTACTACTGCTTCTGCTTCCGCTGCGAATAGTAGTGGCTGTGAGGAGAATAAGACGAAGGAGCTTCCCACCGACGCCGATTGGATGTACGGGATGATGGTTACATGGTCAGAGTTGGAGGGGCAAGGCGTTATTGAGGGCGACGACGGCAACCGCTACCTCCTCCGCGACGGCGAGGAGCACGTGGTGGAGTACAAGACCCACAAGCCCCTCCTCAAGAAGGGCCGACGCGTGAAGTTCACGGCCTTCGGCGGTACCGGAAGGTTGGCGTGCAACGTTGTGCCGCTCAACGCTGAGGCCGACGCCGCCGCACTCGCGGAGGCTGAGCTGCAGCAACCACCGCCTCGCCTCAACGAGGGGCACGCGGAGGAGGCAATTGCGTCCCCGATGAGCACCGCGTACTGGATCAGCCGCATGGACAAGGCGGGCTATGACACGACCGAGGTGAAGCAGATGCAGAACAAGGCCATCACCTTTGAGGACGATGACGAGGAGGACGACAAGCTGCTGGATAGCGAGGAGCTCTTTAAGAAGGACCATTGGTTCAATGACCCGCGCAAAAACATGCGACTGCCTAACAGTGATGTCACGGCTGGAAGCCTCGCTCTTGTCGGCCCGGCGTCGATGATGAACATCGCGATGAAGGCGCACGATCCCAAGAAGCTCGAGAAGATGAAAAACAAGTATTACAACCGGCTGACAGAGCCGATGAAGGAGTTTGCGTGGAAGCAGGCGAAGGAACTCGCCCCCAAATACGAACAACGCGTCAAGGAAGCCCGTGAAAAGGGTGAGGAGCCCCGGTTTTCATTTTACTGAAGTGCAGCAAAGTGTGAAGCCAGGGCTTCATGTGCAATGCTTCTGTCCCCGTGAAAAGAAAAAAAAAAGGAAAAGCACCAACCACCAAAACAAATTGGTGCCCTCCCATTCGTACTCTACTCACTGCTTTACTGTCTCTCAGTTGCATTCTCTCAGCAGCACGCACATCATTATTCACTCCTCTCTCTTTCTTTCTTTCCTCCGTTTTGTTACTTGCCTCCTCGTCTCCACGCTGTCTGTGTTATTGCCACAGCTGCAGCAGTAAAAGGCGAGGGCGATGGTGTCCAAGACGCGGCGGCAGCGGCAGCGGCGGAAGGAGGTGCTCGAGACAAACGGCGGTGTTCTGCCGCCCGTTGTGCCCGCCGAGCCCAAGTCGGTGCACCTCAAGAAGACGCGGCCGCGGATGAAGAGCAAGATGAAGATACGACTCGGCCACGAGTGTCCTGTTGACATCTACGAAGCGTTTGAGGAGCGCAAGGGTGTCCTGTGGCGCTGCCCCAGCTGCGAGAAGGAGTGCCGCGTGGTGGGGTTCTGCGTCGACTGCGCTAGCGGCACTAAGTCGCGGGTCCACAAGGGTGTTCTCATGTCGCGCCACGCGACGGCAAAGAAGGCAGCGACACGAGTGACCTCAACGGTGAAGAAAACGAAGAAGTTGAAGCTGAAAAAGAAGAAGTGAGGCGGTATCTTCCATTGGCTTCGGGTTGACGTCGTTTCGCGGCATAAGTGCACCGATTAAGCGGGTGTTGCACCCTCCAGCTCTCTCACCTTCGCTCTTTATATATATATATATATGCATGTGCTATATCTGGCGTCTGTGCCCACATTCCTCAGCCAAGCTGCGGTGCGCCGGCATGGAATCAACCGCCCTTCTTTCATACCTCTCCCCTCTATCGTTAGTAAAGAGACAGTGCTTCTTGTTGAGTTTCAGAAGGGGCGGCGATAGAAGCAGGAAGAAGTGATGGAGGGGCTCTGGGAGGTGCTGAAGGATGCCCACATGGAGGTCCTCAACGCGACAGGCTGGGGCACGCTCTTTAACGGAGTGGTGGGGTCGTGGAGCGGTGAGGGCGACGGCATGTTGCGTTACTACTATAAGCAGGTCGCCGCTTTCGTAGCAGCTGTGAACTGGTCGGAGCCGTTCTTCACATACCTTGCCGCGTTTCATGTCACCGTCGTTCTTGTGGTGGTGGCTCTGACATGGCGCGCGTCGACGGAGCGCATCTTTGTGGTTGACTTGGTGGTGCTGCTGTTGGGCTGGTGCTCCTCGTACCTCAATGATTTGGGCAACGCATATGCGTCGAAGATCTTCGTGGAAGATGGCGTCAATTACTTTGACCGCTCGGGGCTGTTTGTCAGTGTGGTGTACTGGCTGCCTCTGTTCTTTGTCGCCCTGGTGCTGCAGGGATGCATTCTGCTGCAAGTGCTGCGTCTGATGGTGGCTACAAAGCGCCGGCAGCTGCAGCAGGAGATGCGGAACAGGGCGGCAACGACAACGGCGACGAAGAGCGCGGGCAAAGGGACAACGAAGGCGAAGAAGGAGAAGTGAATGTTTCGCCCGTTTACTATTCTGCTCTTCACCCCCGTTTCTGCGGGAATGAAAAGCGTATTGAAAATCTCCCCAAATTTTTTTTTTTTTTGCTTCCTCTTCCACTCTCTGTGTGTATGTGACTGCTGTGTGCGTTTGGGTTCACTGCGTGTCTCTCTCGCCTCTTTCACACACACACATATATGTGAGCTGCGTACGGCAACGTGTGCTGGTTAATGGCATGAGCTCGTGGCTGTCCGCTGAGCAGTTCCTGCACAGCAGGGCCGCCTCCTACGTGAGGCGTGGCCTCTTTCTTTTCGGGGCATACGGCATCGGGAGCGACTATTACCTGATGCACTATTACCAGGCCTTTGATCCCAGCGAGGGAAGGCTGTACGTGGTCGACTGGAGCCCAATTGGGCGGCCGCGGTGCCACGTGCACATTGTACCCAACAATCACTACCCGAACTACACCCCGTGGACGCCGAGGAACGGCGACGTGGTGCTCGCACGGGATGTGCCGCATGAACCGAACTGGTTGCAGCTCATTAGTGGGCGATTCATTGAGCGACAGACATGTGGGGTGGCGCTGGCAATTCCCCTTGAGGAGGTGCAGGCGCAACAAGAACAGCGACAGAGAGAGGAGGAGGAGCTGAGGAGGATCTTGTAAACAGAAACAGCAGCAGCAACAGCTGTGCTGGTGGTACGCTATGCCATTCTTTTTTCCTTCAACTTTCATGGGTGTGTGGGTGATACATCGAGGCATATAACCCTCGCGTCTGGTGTGCGTGTGTGTGTTTGTTTCTCTTTTCGTGTCGCGTCGTGCAGGAAGAGCAAGAGACAAGGTGGCGGGACACGAACAGTCAACCGTCGACGATGATATTGCGGCGCTGCGTTCCTCTTTTATGCTCTGCCCCCAGCGTTGCTGCTGCTGCTGCTGCTGCTGCTGGTGGTGGTGGTGGTGGTGTTGCAGAGCCGCGTGTGCCCAACACACTCTTTTCGGAGCGGCGGGAGAGGATCCTCGCAGACCTTCGCGAGAACAGGAACGACAAGAGCCTCGCTGGCCGCGTCGATCCAGAGGTGTCGCAGCTGGTTCGCATGATCAACGAAAACTTCAGCTGCTACGTGACAACAAGCTCTTGCTCTGGGCGGGCTTCGCTCTTTCACAAGGGCCAGGTGTCGACCGCGGTGGAGGCGGCGCGGGCGGAGCGGAAGCGTGGCTCCTTCGGCAGGGGCGCGTTGTTTCAGACGCACGACCCGCTGCGGGACGTGCAGGCAGCCGTGAGGCGTTTGCTGACGCCCGCGCTGGAGAGCTTCGCGGCGTGGCGGCAGCAGCAGCAGCAGGTCGACGATGACCCTGTGGTCCTCGAGACGGAGCTGCTGCAGCTTAAGTTTGAGCCGATGATTGTGCACGTCATGTGCGCGACAATCGATGACGCGGCGAGGCTGCTGCAGTGCGCGAGTGAGAGCGGGCAGATGGAGAGTGGTGTCTTGTCGTGTTCGCGCGGCACCAGTGAGCAGCGCAAGATCACGTGCTGCATCACGTCGCCGTTGCGGGTCGACATCCCGCTGTTTGCACAGGGGCGCTGGCTGCTGGGCGGCGCGGACTTTGCCCGCAGCGCGGAGTGGCAGG